GAAAGAAGTCCATCCTCCGCCGCCGCCGCCGCAGTTGGTTGCCGCCGCAGAGTGAACAACCACCGACGCCGCAGCGGAGCTGGTGCAAAAGGAGACTGTTGCCCACCAGGGCCAGCAGCATAATCACGGCCGCCGTGGTGGTCCGCGCAGGCTGTCCCGGAGTGACCCAGCGGGAGGAGACAGAAAGGTTCAAGTTCCCCCCGGGATGCTGGGCGAGGGACAGGTTGGGTCCGAGAGCCAAGCTTTCCGGCCTGAATGCCTCCTCCATGGCCCGACGGGGCTTGCTAAAACTGGGCACAAAGTTTACTCTTTGGGAGGAAAGCGCGAGGCTTCTGCCCGGGTGGGACGCAGCTCGGCAGCAGATATATATATAGGGCTCTGCAGTGGGTGGGCACACCACGATGGCGCCGGTGCTGTGCCCACCCCTCTACCTTGTCTCCCCCTCTCCTCCTCCGAGCAACTGCCTTTCACACCTACCCGAACGCAGCCGAGGTCTCCTCATCACAGTCTACACAAGCATCATCCGAACCACCTTCCGCATCCCTGCCAGAACCGGTCCTTTTCATTTTTCCAGCCACCGAGCCCAGAAATCATTTTTTAGTTCCCCTATCTATCCGTCGCGTTGCTTCACCCTCCCGGCTGCCTGAACAGCATCGTTGGCGTGAAGAGGGCTGGTGGGAGAAACCTGTTGCAAGGAAAGCGTGCACGAAAAGCAAGAATCGCAGTCCTGGCTTATGAAAATATGCGGTAGCTTGTCGCCGACTATGATTTTATATTCTTCAGGGCAGCATCAGAGCTAAAGTCGCCAGCTGAATCCACTCACCCCCAAAATCCAGGTAGCAGACCTAATCTCCATTGAACTCAGTGGAACTTATTCTGCCTAGACATGGATACCGTTGTTACATTATCCTGGAATTCTACATCCACTTATCTGGGAATTAGTTCTGTTGAACTCAGCAGGAATTATTTTTGAGCAGATGAGTAAGATTGTACAGCTAATGTGGTAGGTACCTTTCATGCTTCACAACCACATTGTGAAATGTGTTGAGGCACCCCAATAGTTTAAGCTATTTGAAGCTGTCCTCTTTGTCAAGCAGTGAATACGTAAGGAGTCCAAAGCTAAATATCTTGCAATATTATCTATGAAATATTTGGACTGTCCAAAAACCAATGTTCTTTGAGTGATGAACAGATGAAGAATATTTTAAAAACTAACTATAAAATAGGTTAGCTGGCTAGATAGCTCAGTAAGTTGTATTGCGCTGTGGAGCTAGAGGTTGGGAGTTTGATTCCTCACTTGCCTCCTGTGAATACAGCCAAACTGTGTGGCCTTGGGCAAACTTGCACAATCCCAGTAAACAGTAAACCACTTCTGAGTATTCTCTACCTAGAAAACTCTGAAAAGGGTCACCGTAAGTCAGCATTGACTTGACAGCCTGCAACTATTATGAAATAAGTGGAGGTAAAAGCAATATAACCAGCAGCAAATAAACGCATAAACAAACCCAGCAGCCATGATAAAGCAGTGTGGAGGGTTAAAAGCAATAAAAAAATTTCTAAAAAGGCCTGACAAAATTAAACCTTCCCTGCCAAAAAGATGTGAGTGTAGACCAGGTATGAGCACCTCCAGCAGGACCATATAAACCCCAGTGGTTTGCTATCCAGCCTGGAGAGAAAAGAATACTGAAATGTATTTACACTTTACAAAAAAAAACCACATGGAAATGAACTGTATTTTGCAGACAGAAAATAAAAGCTATTTCATGGAATTCAGCTATACCTTAAATAAAGGAAAGTTGTTTTATTTGCTTGCTCTTGAGCAGACATGCTTAGAACTAAGCTGTTCTTTTTATACTCAGTGGAAAAACCTCCACATTAACAAGAATTAAATCTGATCCCATCTGCATTGTATCACCTGTGTTACTCAGTTTTATGCTTGCCACAGGATATTCGGGAACATCCCTGAAGCCCTTCCCAAAGTAGAATCTGACCCAGGTGAAGTTCTCAGGTAGCCATATTAGCCTGTTGCAGGAAAACAGCAAGGCTTATAGCATCAAAGAGATTCATATAGGACCTAAACTTTTCCTGACAGTATATTTCATCAAATGCATTGTGCATAAAGCTCAAAGATCAGCTAAAGTTCCCAGACAGTACAAACAGTCCAAACATGTACATAAATTAAGCTATGTAACTCAAGGCTGTGGATTGCTAGGCATCTTGTCAGGCATCTGCCTGATTGCACAATAGCTGCAGTGATGTGATCGGTACACCAGTACTTGGCAGCAATTCACTGATTTAATATAATTTAATCACCAATAGGGTTCTGGCTAGTACATAACAGGAGGTTATCAGCATATTAGACAATACCTATAGCATGTATTTAAATACAGTGCTCCCTCCTGTGGCACAGTACATGCTTTTCTTGTTGCAGAGTTTTGAATTTTAGCTAAACCCCCTCAACTGTGCAGCAGAGGTCCAGAGACTTATAAAGCAGAATTAGCTTCAGGTCTCCTCAAAGTAGAGGGACGTGGTGGCGCTGCGGGCTAAACCGCAGAAGCCTGTGCTGCAGGGTCAGAAGACCAAGCAGTCGTAAGATCAAATCCACGCGACGGAGTGAGCGCCCGTCGCTTGTCCCAGCTCCCGCCAACCTAGCGGTTCGAAAGCATGCAAATGCGAGTAGATCAATAGGGACCACTTCGGTGGGAAGGTAAACAGCGTTCCGTGTCTAAGTCGCACTGGCCATGTGACCACGGAAGATTGTCTTCGGACAAACGCTGGCTCTATGGCTTGGAAACGGGGATGAGCACCGCCCCCTAGGGGCGAACACGACTGGACAAAAATTGTCAAGGGGAACCTTTACCTTTACCTTTACCTCTTAAAGTAGGCCATCCCTTATTGTTTCATTAACTGGCACTAGTGTCAGTAACTAACTCTGGGACACTGGGAAGAGAAAGAGTAAGAAAGTTTCATTTAATCACAGTTCTGAACAGATCAAAAACAACATACTGTACAAAATGACTGCTTAGAACAGTGATGGTGAACCTTTTTGAGCCCGAATGCCCAAACTGCAAGACAAAGCCAACTTATTTATTTCAAAGTGCCAACACTGCAATTAAACCTGAATACAGTACTGAGGTTTTAGTTTAGAAAAAACTGTCCTGCACCTCAAGGGTTAAATGTGTGGGTGGGTGGAACAATGAACAGGCAGCAACAGCAAGGATGAGCAGGGCTGAGGGGCTTTGGGGATCAAGATTGGGGTCCCTGCTGAAGTACAAGCCAGAACAGGTGTCCATAGTGCCATCCCTAATGCCAGCCCTGAAGAAGGATCACAAGGCTATGCTTGAGCAGTGCACATCACTTATTTAGAAACTATGACTGGCTGTTACTGTGCACCACTGAGTGAAAAAAAGGTGGCAAACCAAAGTATCAGGTTTTGAAAGCTATGTTATTTTGTATTAATCAAAACACACACACACACACACTCACACACCATTTTATGCTACATCTTTGTGAAAACTTCAGTTAGAAATGACCTGTTGCATTTGTAGAAACTTGTATCTTTTGTGTATTTGTCACTGTGCTGTGACTTATAGTAGTATTTTTCTCCATCCTTTCATTCTGAATAATTGCCAAAGAGAGAAGAAATGTCAACCACAGAGTAATACTGCATCATCAGCTCATTTGTATTTTGATTCCAGATGATAAATCTCCTACACCAAGTGGCTTCTAATAGGATTTCTACCAGATGGCACTTCTCTGTAAGTACGCCCCCATGCAGTGGAAGGCAATATGAATCAATCGTGTAAAGGTGTTTGTTTTTATTTTAACTTAAACTCAGGAAGTTGAAGGAAGAGATACATTTAGAAGTGCAGGAAATTTTTTTCCTAAAATAATTTTTAAAAATGTAAAAGGCATGTGAACAGTGAGTTCCACCCTGAAATTGGTGGACCAGATCTAGAGAAGGTGGCCCAATTAAAATCAACAGGCCTCAAGTTACTCGTAAACATCAGCATCATCCTGTTCAATACTTCCATGCACATGGCTCCAACACTGGAAGCTGCATCTTCAAGACATTACCAGTGCAATCCTATCCACACTACTGGGCAGAAAGCAGCAAAGACCTGAAATGATTCCTGCACTTTGGCTGTTTAGAGTTTAACGTTAAGGAAGCAAAGCCAGTTGAACATGAAGAAAGCACAAAATCATGACTACACAAGAACAGCACAACTGTAATACAACTTTAATATTGACTGGAGAAAATAAAACAGTTAAAGGTTTTGTGCATCTCAGTTCAATCAGCAAATGAAAACTGTAGCCAAGAAATTAGAAGAAAACGGAGACTCAGAAGTGCAGCAATGCCCTTCCAATATGTAAAGGGAAGACACCAAAAAGCAAGAGCTGACTGGCAGAATCCTGCTGGAGATTTAATAATGCATAAGTTAAATTTCATTATTCATTATAGTATATTGGCACTAATGAAGCATCAGTCCCATTCTTAGTTTTGCACTTCATAACAGTTGTTGCTTTATTAGTTACCTACACTTCACCCTAGTAAGTGATGCAATTTAACTTAAGCACATACAATTACCATCAGGATTCTGGCTACTAGATCTTAAGATGTTGATGTCTCCACCCTGTCCCAGGTGTGGTGGAGAAGGAAGAAAAAGCAGATACGAAAATATGGCTCTTTCAATACTGCAGTACTGGACGCAGCAGTATGTACCCACAGTGTCATTTGAGAAGAACCCTGTGAAGAAAGTTTTGATCCATACATATAATTAGAAAGTCTAGCAAGTCTCTCTCCTGTTCTCAAAGAAATAGTTGTTAGGCTGTTTCATCATGTAGAAATATGGGGGAGAAGAGAGAGAGAGAAAGTCTTGTGACACCTTTAAGGCTAGCACTTTCATTCCAGCACTTTCATGGATTGCAAAAGCGGGGGCAACCCAACCATAACATTGTAACTTTGAAACTGTACTTCGGATCAGCACCAAGTTTGGCCTGACAATTGCTTTGAGTTTGGATGAGAACTGGTTGAAGCATGGGGGTGTGCAGCCTCACCCCTCTGATGATTGCCCACCCTCATCTAGATGGCTTTTGCATTGCCTGAAGTACATCATCTTTACCCATACAACATCTTATGATATTTCCAAATCTAATAATAAAAGTTTGCTGAGCATCTTCTCTCTGCCTCAGAAGGCAGGGGTTTTTAAACTATGCAGTTGGACACAAAATATGCAAAAATGTGTAACTGAAAACTAAAAAATGTGCAGTAGTGCAGTATGTTAGATACTAAGTATGTAAACAGCCAGTGTCATGTAACATAATTTATATAAGGATTAAGAAGTAATTGGAAATACAGCAGGAATTTCAGCTACAGTAAAATAAATGAGCCTGAAGATTTGTGTTTAACTTGGTGTATGTGTATATGTGTGTGAGACGGGGCATTTGTATACTGTACCTGGAAAATCTGCTCAAATCTTGTCACAAGGAAGCTGTGTGTATTCTAATTTTAAATAGTGGGAGAAACTGACATGTTTATCACAGTGAGCCGAAATGCAATCTGAAACTCATCTTCTGCCTGCTCAAGTTTCTTTGCACACATTGTTACCTACAGGCAACTCGCCTCTGACTTACAGTGACTCCTATGAACCTGTGATCTCCAAAATAGCCTGTCCTCAACAACTGTGTTCAGCTGTTAACTCAAGCCTATGTGGCTTCCAATGTATACATCTACCTACCCTGTTTCCCTGAAAATAAGCCCTAGTATGATTTTTTTCAAGATGCTCACAAGAGAAGCCCTACCTACCCCCAAAATAAGTCATAGTTAAGTGAAACCCCGCCCTCCACCACTGCAGCAACCAGATGACATGACTGTACATTTTGAATAAATGTAGATTGTTGTACATGAAAAAAATAAAACATCCCCTGAAAATAAGCTCTACATTTTTTGGAGCATAAAATTAACATAAAACACGGTAACTCAGGGGCGGACAAGATCTGAGAACTTGGGAGGCAAATGGAAACCTCCAGCCTTCAGTAGGTAAGTACTAGCCATTTAAAAAAAATCAAGCAGAGGAAGTCCAAGCAGGCGTTTTAGGTGGAATGGAGGAGTCTCAAGGTCCATAAACTCAAAAAACCACACACACACAAACCACCCCCCCCAAGCCTGCTTTTCCAAGCCTGCTGGTTCTAGAAAACAGCTTTGTTCCGCCTTATAAACAGCAAACTTGGGGATTCTGGAAGATGTAATCCAAA